TTTTTTCCTTGTAATTCATGACTGTGTCGAAACATTGCAATGAGTCACCACAAACGGCACTGGTTTGGGGGCCCTGAGTCATGATCAGGTTCAACAGTTTCTTCCAATAAAAGATGATTGCAAAAGCTTTGATGGAATTATTTAACCTAGCTATATTAATAAGTACGATAGCTAATCTAAATCTATAGTTTGGGCAGTACTATAATAGATACTGTCTGGTATTATAGGTGTTCTTCTCATTTCAGACTTCTGATTCACCACAGCTTTCAGAAAATCCCATGATTTATATAGACGAACACTATAAAAAAAACAAACTGGTTGGTTTTCAGTGAGCTTCACCATAAACATTTCTGTTGGCTTGACCTGAGAGTCATTAAATAAGCATAAAGGTCACCAAACTGGGGCTGAAAATCTTCTGCATGATAAAAACAAAATACATAAAACATGATCAGTTACCTGGCAGAACTGCACAGTAACAACAGCATTTAGGGTACATTATACAATCATGAGAAAAAGCTTTTTCAAAGGGACTCTATGCTATGAACAAAATAAGATCCCATGAATTAGTAGCTTTTAGAAAATAATAACTTAAAGTACTGGTTTTCATTAAGGAGAAAGTTTGGCACAGTCTTTTTTTCTTTGTTTTCTTACAATGTTGCTTCAAGTCATTGCAGTTTTTTGGGTACTTCTTTATGCACAGCTCTCTAAGGTCCCTCATGGCATTTCAGTGTAGTAAGTCTGAAGTTTAACTGGGCCACTGCAACACCTTGATTCTTTTCCAGCCATTCTGTTGTAGATTTGCTGCTGTGCTCTGGATCATTTGCTGTTGACTGATGGTCTCAAATTTAAGTCTAGAAGACTTTGGTATACAGAGAAATCCATGGGCAACTCAATGACTGCAATGTGCCCGGGGCCGTGGCTGCAAACAATCCCAAATCATCGTGCTGACAGTTGGTATGGGGTGTTTGGCTTTTCAACAAACGTGCTGTGTATTATGTTTGAGAAGTCTTGCAGTTCGCTCAGATTAAACTTTGCAAACCTAAGCTGTTCTGTTCTTTTACAGAGAAAAGGCTTTCTCCCACCAACTTTTCCAAACAAGCCATACTTGGCTACATAACGTTCCCTAATTCTTTGGGAAGCAGTAAGGGTCTACTTAGTTTTGTGACATGTGACAACTCTCTTTTGCACATGTATGCAGTGCTTCTTTGATTTTAATGTGTGATCTCTGACTGAATGCTCTCTTAAAGTAATACATCATCTTAAAAAGAAAATAAAACTCTTTGAGGTTGACTTTGCAAAGAACGAGGAGATTGAAGAACTCATCCCCAGCTCCAGGGTGAAACACTGGATCTGGATTCATCCAGTGTCAGGGTTAAGACTTTCTAAACTTTCATCGATGACTGTTAATTAAACACTAACAGATGGATCAGTTGTCCAGTTATCCTAGATTTAATTTTGATGGATTTGCACTTAAGAGGCTTCCTCCTCTTTATGGGTATGGCTGTACATGGGACAGATGGGAAACCTAAGATGGGACCAGGCTCTGTAGGGACTACCTGAGGTCACACAGCAAGTGATCTTTAAGCCCTGCAACCAGAAACAGATCAATAGTCTGTTATGTGATGTTGTGTTACCTGAAGCCGGACAGTATTTTGCATATTATAGTCGCTTTCTCCTTGTGTGGAGTCAGAATACACACAGCATGAGCGCTGGCAGCATCTGATCATCTTACACTGCACTAATTTAAGCCAAGTCCCCAACTCTCTCTCTCACACACACACACACACATATATACTGGAGAAACCCTGTGGCAGTCATGGTTATGCTCATAAACATATGGCAACTGCAGTATCCAGGTATGCCAGTGAACAGGCCCTGGTTTGTCCCTGTGGAGAAAACCAGCCTAACACCGGCTTGGTCTGGCTTGGCACTTTGGCTCAGACCAGTCTGATGTGATTATAATAATACAGCTCATCATTATGGCCGGGCCGTGACTTCTCAGCAGGCTAATGGGACCATGTCAACTCATGTTGGCTAATTGGTCTTAATGGGAGCACAGTTTGCTAGGCTAATGAGAAGCTGAACAGGAGAGAGAGACTGAGAGACAGAAGAACACCCGAAACTTGAATTTTTTCCTTTTTAGTCCCTTTTTTCTCCTAAGCCCTACCGTTAAATAGAATAAAGTATTTATAACACGTTTACATAATTTTATTTAAAAAAAATACACACCAAATAAATTATCACTGGTGGAAATGACTTCAAAACGTTCGCTTAACACACCTGTATGAGAAGGTCGACACTGAAAAAAAATTTTTTTATGGAGGAAGTAGGTGCAAATTTTTACCGTGACGAGCTTCATTTAAAAACAATACATTTTTACGTAACTCTATCAGTCACACCCAGCCGCGTCTCAGATAACAACTCGGTCATTGATTTTCAATCTCTTGGATTGACTTTTCAATTCGGCTTAACCCAATACACCAACCGACACTTTTGTTTCACTGAAATTTCAAGTTTTTAAGGAGGCTAGCTTACTGCCCTCGCAAACTTATTCCATCCAAATCCACAGCACTAGCAGCGGGAGCCAGTTGCAAAGTTACAAATCCATTAAAAATAAGTGATAGTTGATGGGTTGGCTGTATGCCGAATTATATAGGTGGTGTTAAATATGAGGAAAATGGTTTAAATGATGTTATAAAATGGATGTTCGCTGATAGACAACCGAAACATATTAAATCGTCAGATTTCAAAACGGAGTACAACACTGGCTTCTCGCGACCAGAGAATGCCGACATCTATCGGAGTTAATTGACCATCAATATAGTCAAGCAAAGAAATGTCTCTTACCGAGCATCAAAAGCCCGAAAGCGAATGCGAAAAGACACTTATCCATGTTCCCTCCTCTCTTATTCCACTCTTATCCTTTTTCCTTAATTTCCCCCCGCTTTCTTTGTCCCGCGTTGGGGGTAAGACCAGTCCTCTCCCGCCGCTGTCGGGCAATCCAATAAAACTCTCAGATGTGTGCAGTCAGTCCGCACCGCACACCGGGCGGAGCCGCTACGCAAAACGGATGCACACACCGCGGTTTCTGATCCAGCGAGCCGAAAGTCCGGGTCCGGGGGGAGAGCGTTTACATGGCACTTACACTGAACCGGTGTAATGTGTGTCTCTGTGTGTGGGAACTGGGACGAGCTACATAGAGAGGGGGGTGAGGCTGATAGAGGTGAGAGAGAGAGAGAGAGAGAGTGGCCGGAAGTTAGGTGACGGTCTGGAGGAGGGGTGGAGGGAAACAGGGAGGTCCCAGGTGGAGAGAGAGATTCCCACATCATTCTTGCTGTGCCACAAGTTTTAATAGCAAAGATCGCAGTCTGTGTTACACGTCGGGCACAGTCCAGTGATGATATGATGGATTTCTCCATCACAGAGCTTCAATTACAGCAGCTCAATCTCCAGCGATTATCCTTTAATATCGACCTACCAGCCCAGGCTAATACAGCAGCTCCTTGTGTATAATAATTGATACATTTGATTGATTTCTCTCTACAGTAATGTTGCTTTCATGATGTGTTGAAATTGATACTTTGATACCCAGGATGCTTTATGATAATAATAATAATAA